GAGAGAGCACCATACTGCTTTCCACAGGGGTTGCACCATTTTACACTCCCACCAACAGTGAATCAGGGTTCCAGTTTCTCCACAGCCTCGCCAGCATTTGTTGCTTGCTGTTCTGTTAAATTTTGCTATTTTGACTGGGGTGAAATGATATCTCATAGTTGTTTTAATCAATTCTCTCTCTATCCTCCTTAGTCATTGTCCAACTCTCTGATGCATAACAAGTGATAACAAAGACCATGGCCTGTATCAGATGCACCTTAGTCTCCAGAGAGACAACATTGCTCTTCAGTACTTTGGAGAGGTCCCTAAGAGCAGACTTTCCCATGGAAATGTTGTTGTTGTTAAGTGCCGTCGAGTTGCTTGCAACTCACAGCAACCCTATGTACAACAGCCCTAAACCCTGCTCTGTCCTGTGCCAATTGCACTGCCTCTGACACACCCATTCCGATTACCCCCGTCACTGAATCAATTCACCTCATAGAAGGTCTTAGCATAATTTTAATTGTGTGTTATATTAATGATACAATTTTATAATTTCCACATTCTGTTGAATCATCTTTCAATGGAATGGGCACAAATATGGATACCTTCCAGTCAGGGGGCCAGGTAATTAATTCTCTTCCAGGTTTCTTGGTGTAGATAAGTAAGCACCTCCAGTACTACCACTGTTTGTGGAAACATTTCCATTAGCATTCTGTCAATTCCTGGAGTCTTTTTTTTTTTTGGTACAATACCTTCAGTGCAGATTGGACTTCTTCCTTCAAAGTTCTTGATCATATGCTCCCTCCTGGGATGCTTGATTGACTGCTTCTTTTTGATACAGTGACTATGTATTCCTTCTATCTTTAGGTCAAGTTTTTCGTACACAGCAACAACTAATTCCAAATACAGTTTTAAAAATGAAAAAGTGAATGTTCCCCCACTCATCTGGAGGTGGTTTAATGGCACACACAAGAAATACTACTGGCAACAGACTGCTTCCTCATGTTTTCCTGCCTGATTACCCTACCCCCCGCTCTGCCCCATTCATAGCATCAACCCTCCCTCTGGGAGCTAAAAGTACAATTGGCCAGATCACAAGTTGTTTACATTTTTTTAACTGTTTTGTTAGGAAGAAGGTGCATGGACATGAGAGTATGATAAAAATGGGGTTTTTTCCCCCATAGAATTCTGAAGCTGCAAAAAAGTATTCCATTTTAATGTGAAAATAAGGTTTTTTGTTTTACAGAATACCTAAGATATTTAGCAAGGATCCTTCTATTGTGACTCTTCATGTGCCATTCAATAATTTACCTGTAGAATCCTTCACTACTGCAACCCAACACTTGCATTTTTCTTCTGCATTCCCCCTCCAAGGCTGATAAACACCAGTTATGTTCTTCCCTTTTGGTTTTCTAACCACATGTTATTCCAAGCACAACCTGTTTTTCTGAGAAAATAAGAACACTCAGTCAGTGGTTCTCAGATACGGTCCCAAAAAAAGCAGCATCACATGCCACCTTGTTAGGAAGGAAAATTCTCAGACTACACCCAAAGTTGGCTGAATCAGAAGCTCTGCATTGGGTTTCTGAATTTCAGCAAACCCTTCTGGTGATACTATTGCACCTATAATGTGCAAAATAGTCTGCAAAAAGACTCCTTTCAGAACATTCAGAGAATTTGTTCTCTTGCTATTTCTGATCTTGTTTGGGACTTCTACATCCCATAAATGTATACCATTATAATGTCCTTGATGCTTTTGACTCACAAGGTGAATGTCTCAAATAATAAACATTTTTGAGAGTCTTAGAAACTTTTTAACAACTCCCACTGCTCCCTTGTCTCAGTGGAAAATTTCCCAGGTCTGCTTCCTGAGCCCAGTCCAATAATGTCTCCCCAAGGACATTCCCTCTTTCCCAGGGCCTTGCCCAAGAGTAGTGTATGTGAGGTATGAGCAGAGGTCAGAAACTGTTAAGCTACATGGAGAAGACCCCGAGGATGAGGTAAGAAGTCTCATTTCACATTCTAGGTTGAAGAAGAGCGAGAGATCGAAGGTCCATTGTAAGTAGGCTCCTGAAAACACCTGCTGGACTGTGGGAGGAATAAACATGTACCGTTGGCTCGATGGTTGGAAACCTAAAGTGTGAGAAATGCATTGGGAAGTAGCGCAGGGAAATGTGCTGGTGAGAAAAACTGCCTTAGGTCCTCTGGAAACCAGTATTTTTAGCAACCAAGGGTAAGATGATCTTTATGATTTGGAGACCAAGAGAGTAAGAAAATGACTCAAAAACCTTCCATAAAACAATCTAAATACTCACCAACATATTGATGGATAAATAACATGTAGCATGTGTACGTAATTAAATATTACTCAGTCGCGAAGAGAAATGAAGTTCCTGATACATGCCGCAACATGGATGAGCCTTAAAACAATGTGCTGAGTGAGGTAAGTCAAATATAAAAAGGACAATGATTACTACCTAACTTGGGAAGGACTGGAGAGCATTAGGCTGAGCGAACTAACACAGTCCCATATGGACAAATACTGCGTAAGACCGTTATTGTAGAATGAGTATGAGGATCCAAGGGGGGGAGGAGGGAACAGAGGGGTTAGGATGGGCAGGCGAGAACGGTTAATCATTGAGTCGCACAATTTGATGGGGGTAGGGGTAGGGGTGAAGGAAATGGGAAAGATCTGGTGTGAAAATCAATGTATACAAACTTTATAAATAAACCAGTATGAAAGAAAATGTAAAAAAAAATCAAACAAAAAAGAACAATCATAAATGTTGCATGATTTCATTTAAACTATCTGGAATAGGGAAAGGTACAGAGATCAAAGTTTTTAGTAATTACCAGGGCCAGTAGAAAGGGATAAAAAGGGAATTATTGTTAGGAAGCTGTGAGTTTCTGTTTCTGTTCATGGAAAATGTGACAACAAATATTTGTGATTGTCGCACAAGGTGGTTAATGTAATTGATGTCTCTAAATGGTCCATGTGAAAAGATTTAATTGGCAAATGTGTGCTAAATGTATTTTTACAACAACAAAAAAATTTTCAATTAATGACTGGAGACCCTAAGCCTCTGTAAACTTTCATTAACATTAATAAAATAAAATAAAAATTCTCTACATACTGAAGTTCTTATAACATTACTTAATTAAGATATGAACTTGACCAATATTTACTGAGGGCATGCAACATCAAAGTTGTTCTATGTTCTGAGATTGCTCAAGTTAAAATGTAGTTAATGCAAGGGAGAAATAGAAACAAATGAACGATGGGGTGTTTGTTGCTGTTAGGTGTCACCGTCAGTTTCACTTGTAGAGACCTATGGGGCACAGTAACTTCCTCCCTAGGGTCTCCTGGACTGTAATCTTTATAGGAGCAGACTGTCAAGTCCTTTCTTCTGGAGTGGCTGGAGGGTTTGAATCTCTGACCTTTAGATTAATAGCTAAATGCTTAACATTGTGTCATCAGGGCTCCTTTTCTTTTCTGGGTTTTTTTAAAATTAAAAAAATTTCTCAGGATTCCTTTTGAATGATGATAGAATGTGATAACTCTTGTAACAGCAGCATTTATAATGCGTTATCAGAACTGTGAGAAAAAGGGAAATTCTTTCTGCACGGAAGAGACTGTAAAAAGAGTAAAACAGAGTGACATTTATATATAGGCCTTTTCTTGATGAAGAGCGTAGTGAAATCCTATTGCAGAAAATAGTAATGAAAGCAAATTGTACATAGCAAGGTTGAAAGACTGTAATTCATTAAGCAGCCAGTCTAGAAAGGTATACAGAGATGCTGACTAGAAAGGTAGACAGAGACCACATTTTACAGCATTGTATTTCACATCCAGGGGAAGTTGCATGCACATATTTAAGTATTTTTTCTTTTTTGTCTAATTGGATTCACAAGTGTGCCTTCCAAGCAACAATTATGAGCAGTCATTGGAAGACTGTAAGTAGAAGAGGAACTTGATTAGATCCGAGTTTGGAAAGGTCTCATTGGTAGCATGCTAGAATATGAATGATAGTGGAAACAATATTAGAATGAGATGATCTCTTATAGATAATAGAATCACTAGTTCAGGTTCAAGAGGTTGGGGACTTGAGAGATAGCACACAGACAGTGGCAACGTAATCTCTTTTGTTACCCTCGACCTTCTTTTCCAGCTTCTGAATGGTTTTAAAATGGCTCAGGAATATATATCCCAGCAATCACCATAAGAACTCTCCAAAGACAGGACCACTAATCAGTACCGGCATTATGGCCTGCCCATGAGGATGCTCGTCATATGAACCTGGATAAACCAGTTTGGAGCTTCTGAGCACTATAAAGGCAAGTAGTGACTTTATGAATGTATGTCTGTGGAATGTTTTCCTTAGGCGTATGGAGAAAATATTATGGATCCTGGTAATCTCACATGGATATCAGAATTTGTCTTCCTGGGTCTCTCACAGACTCGAGAAGTTCAGTACTTTCTGTTTCTGGTGTTCTTGTTGGTCTATACCACAACTGTAGTGGGAAACCTCCTCATTGTTGTTACCGTAACCTCTGACTCCCGGCTCCATACACCCATGTACTTTCTGCTCAGAAATCTGGCTGTCTTAGACCTCAGTTTCTCTTCAGTCACTGCCCCGAAGATGCTGGTCGACCTCCTTTCTGAGACCAAGACCATCTCCTACCAGGGCTGCATGGCCCAGATCTTCTTCTTCCACTTTCTGGGAGGTGCCATGGTCTTCTTCCTGTCAGTCATGGCCTATGACCGCCTTGTTGCCATCTCCCGGCCCCTCCACTATGTCACCATCATGAACACGCAACTCTGTGTAGGGTTAGTGGTGGCTGCCTGGGTGGGAGGCTTCCTCCATTCCATTGTCCAACTGAGTCTGATGCTCCCACTTCCCTACTGTGGCCCCAATGTGCTGGATAACTTCTACTGTGATGTTCCTCAAGTACTGAGACTAGCCTGCACTGACACTTCCTTCTTGGAGTTCCTCATGATCTCCAACAGTGGGATGCTAGATGCCATCTGGTTCTTTCTCCTTCTGATGTCCTATTCAATCATTCTGCTGATGCTGAGGTCCCACCCGGGAGAGGCCAGGAGGAAAGCAGCCTCCACCTGCACCACACATATCATTGTGGTGTCCATGATCTTCATTCCAAGTATTTACCTCTATGCCCGTCCCTACACCCCATTCTCCATGGACAAGGCTGTGTCCATCAGCCACACCGTCATGACTCCCATGCTCAACCCCATGATCTACACCCTGAGGAACCAGGAGATGCAGCAAGCAGTGAAGAGACTGGGGATGCGCTGGTTGGTTTGTAAAAAGGGCTGACAGTGTAGAAGTCACTTCTCTTTGCCTTTATTTTCCTATTTGCAAAGTGAAAAACAATTATATCTTCTCTTTTCATGACCTGTTGATGTCAGGGTGGTAGGAGAAGCAAATGAATTTTTAATTAAACAGCTTAGGTTTATTAGAGAAAAGAAAAAGCAAGAAAATGATCTTTTTTATTGACAATGGATGATTCTAATACTTCCATGGAAATAAATGTTTACATGGCCCCTGGAAATCATATCCACTTTCCCCTTTTTTGGAGAAAGTTTCTTTTTACCATGAAGAGCGTTTTGTTTTCTTATTTTGACTTTTCTTTTGTTTCAAAGCTGGAGTGTTGAAAAGAACACAGGACTTAGTCTTAATCTGTAAACTAATGACTTTGGGTGAGTCACCTAACCCCTCCCTGTCTCATGGCTTCTTCTTTACCAAACTGGTTTAAAATAAAAAACTACTCAAAATGCCTCCAGTTTTATTACAATATTCAAATAAAAAATATGGGAGAAAGTACTTTGTCAACCATTGAACTTAACATAGGGTTTATTGTTATTAGATTGGATGTTTGTTCTTTCATCTATCATCTTTTTGTCCTCTTGTCAAAATGCTCTGTTCAATAGCATTTTGGCAAGAGGACAAAAAGACCTATGTGAAGTGAAGTAAGCACAGAAAGAGTGAAGGCTGAAGTCCAGCAGCAGGGCTATGCAACATTCTAAGGGGGGAGATGAGCAATAAACAATGGGTGTCCACAGGGTTTTGTGGGTTGTTTTTTTACTATTATTTCACAAACCACCTCCATTTAAGACTAACATTTCTTGCAAGCAAAAGTCATCAAATTCATTCACTCATTAATTCTTTCCTCATTCAGTTGGGACCAAGACAGGACTTAAGTGCCCTGTCAAATATGAAAACTCTGTTTCTCTATATTACCATCCCTTTCTCCTTGCATTAATTTCTGCAAATTCAGACTATATGTCTATCTAAGTCTATATTTTATTTGTTTGTTTTAAAACCACCGATGTGCCTTGCTTTCTCTGTCTGGATCTCTCTGCCACACATCCATTATATCTTCTATCCACGATCAAATTGGGGATTTGAGTTGAGGCTGTTGAAGAGAAGGAGGAGATTACATTAAGAGTTTCAGGAATGTGAGATACAAACAAGCTTAAACAAAAAGAGGAAGCTTGGTTTAAGGATGTAAAGATCACACAGAAGCGAAATGTAGTCAAGTGTTGAGGGAATAAGGCGCTGTCAGGCCTGACACACCTAGTCTTTCTTTGTTCTCTTTCTTCATTCCTCATGCCCTATACACTCTCCTTGAACATTCTGTAGATATGTTTTAGTTATTTAGTGCTGCTAATACAGAAAAATCACAGTGAGTGGTTTTAACAAACAGAAGTTCCCTCAGAGTTTAGAAGGCTAGAAGTCAGAATGCAGGGTGCCAGCTCAAGGTGAAAGCCTGCTCTGTCTTAGCTTTGGGAGAAAATCCCTGTCTCTTCACCATCTGCTGTTTCTTGTTCTTGAGAGGTTTCCTTTGTCTTGGAATCAATCTTCCTCTGGGTTTAGGAAGTTCTCAGTGTGGGGATCTCAGATGCAAAGAACACTCTCTGTCCTCAGCTCTTCTTTCTTGGTAGTAGTGAGGTCTCTCTCCTTTTTCATTTCCTTCTCTTTTTCTCTTTTGTTGGATTTAAGTAAGTGTGGGCCTTGAAACACATGCTTTTGTAATGATATAACTCAAGATTCACCCCCATACTGATTCTGCTTCATGTTAGGTAATAAAATGGAGAATAACCAAACAATAATAAGAATCATGGACTAGTCAAGTTTTAGCAAGATGCAATTCAATCTATAGCGTTCCACCCTTCAGCTCTGCCTTCAAATGCATGTCCTTGCCACATGTAAAACATATTCACTCCTTTATATCATCTCGAAAGTTTTAACTCCAAGTCCAAAGTATCATCTTCTGAATCTAAACCAAATATAGGTGAATCTTCCATGCTGCAATGAAATTCGTATTCATCTGTTAAACTGTGTAATATAGACGAAAATATATCTGCTTCCAGAATATAACTGAGGAAAAGGCACAAGGTAAACATTTCCATTACATATGGGAACGGGTACCAAGCAGAAAAAAAAAAAAGAAGAAACCAAACAAACCATAGCAGAACAATTTATATTCACTCCCAAGTCTTGAAAATAATCCCATGTTGAGAACATTTTGAAAATGGCTCTGTCCTTCAGCTTCTGGGTGGTAGCCATATTTATATTCTCTGGATTCTGGCTAGAGGTCCTTGGCCCTGGACTTCATTCTACCTTCTGGGCCCACTGAGACAACCACTTTGCTCCCTTGGGTTTGAGTAGCTCCACTGTCATAGTCCATCTGAGGAAGAACTCCAGCCCCTCCGCTCTGAAAGGTCCTGTTTTTCTGTGCTTGGGGTTGGCAGTGCTGCTTCCTTAACTTTCAGCTTTGCATGGTGGCTCCATGTCCCGTGCACACCTTAAAGGCAGCCCTATGCTTCAGAATCGAGTATGCAAAGATCTCACTCTCAGAAATCCAGGAGGTGTGGCCAACCCCACCCTTTAAGTCCCCAGAAGCCACAGCCCTATGCTTGGAGCTCTCAGTAGCTCCTTCCAACAGTTCTGCCGATTTCTCTTTTCTGTTCTTGTAGAACAACAGTAAACCTGTTTCTTGTTTTTTAGAATTATTTCTTCATTAGTCTTCCAAAATAAACAAAAACCAAAAATGAAGAGAAAGAGACTTTCTACAGGCAGGAAACAGAATTTCTTGCATATGGCATCCTCTCTTTTTATTCTTTCTCTTCTCCTATCTGTCTAAGATAATGGGTTTTCTGCGATGGTACTTGGTTAAACTGACTCAATCTCATTAACAAAATCTTCTATATTAATTTTTCTTGATAAAACTTCTAGGACTCATGTCCTTAGTTTGTACAACAGAATATTCCAAATTTTTATGTTTTCATTATGTATACAGTTCATGTTTTCTGTTTTTCACTGTGATTTGAGTGAAAGTTAACAAAGCAAACTACTTTTAATTCAATTGTTCATACACATTTTGTTCAATAGAAAATTTATTTGCCACCCACAATATGAGTGCACACTTCCCTTGTAATTCCTATTTCCATTAATCCTTCTACATCTCTGTGTCTTCCTTTCTTTAGTGATATTGTACTAATCATTCCTTTATTGGATTTTTGCCTATTACGTCCCACATCTTAATACGTGCCTATTATCTTTTTACTAATTTCTATCCCCACTCCTTCCCTTCCCATTTTAGGTAACCATCCAAGAATAATTCTGTATGTAAATACTTCATTAGCTTGTAATAGTAGTGATTTTAGATAACATTTGTGTTTTTTGTGACTGACTTATTTCACTTAGCATAATGTCTTCTGGATGCATCTGTGTTATGCAGCATTTAGTGAACATTCTTTTTTTTTTAAATTGCTCTTATTTTCTGCTTCCATAGTACTCCATGGTGTGAATGTACTATAGTTTCTTTCTCTAATCATTTGTTGATGAACAGTGGGATGTTCTATCACTTTGTTATTTGTACAGTTCATTTTCAAGTTCATATATTTCCTCCAGTGTTTTTCTAAGCAGCTAGGAGAAATCACGTATCCCTTTTAAGATCTAGTTTAAAATATTTTTTCAAATTTTTGCTTAAAATTATTTTTAAAAATTTTTATTATTTGAGTAAGGGTTTACAGGAGAAATTTATTTTCTATCCAATCCTTTGTACATTTTGTTTTATGACATTAATTACAATCTTCCTGTTGTAATAGCACTCCTTTGGCCTCCTTCCTATGATTTTTATTTCTCTCCATCTTTCTATCCTTCCCCTCCCTGAGCTTTCTTCCTGAGACCAATACTACACTTTTGATCTTTCATGGTTGACTGTACTAAGAAATTAGTACTTTCCTTGTGTTTAATGGAAGGTAGAGCTTGTAAGTGATGAAACTGGATTTTTGGTTGATAAAACGTGTAAGCCTGGGGTACAATTATAGGTCTCCCTTTCCAGAACAAACAAAAATGAAGGAAATAAAAGGTGTGTAGAAATTATTTGTCCAAAGAACTAAGGGACCATTCAAACCTTCACCTCCATTTTTGGTTGACTGATGCTGGCATTGACCATTGACCCTTGACACCAGTGCTGCTAAGGGGCTAGAACCACGGAGATCACACCCTCCCCACTGCCACACCACCAGAGAGATGCTAAGACAGGGGCAGGGGTGGGCAGAGGCTGGAGCTTGAGAATAAAGCCTGTCCCATTTTTGTGATAATTGTTTTACATATCTGAACCTTCTAGATTGTCACACCCCAGGCAAAGTTACTATTTGTCTCACCCTTTCATTCTGTAGAGAGTCCAAATCTTTACAGCCTTCAGGCAGTCATTCTTTGTAAATGTCATGAGATGCTAGGATACAAAAATGAATCCTATAGGCATTTTCCCCTCCACTCCCCCAAGATTGTGCTGGATTTTTCTTTAAAGTATGTGGGCCAGGTGGGGGCTGAGGCTTGGTATAGCCTCCAACTATGTCATTTGCCAGCCTTGTTCCTTTTTGTGCTCCTCCTTTACCGATCCTTTGCTCCACAGAGCTCCGGGGTGGCTAGGGCAGCCTTCCCCACCCACTGGCACAGCCTCACCCAGGACTCACAGCACAACTGGAGCAGCTTGGCCTGCCTGGTGCCCCACCTCTGGTATCCAGCAGGGGCACCAGGCCTGAGATATCCTTTCAGGCTGGTGGAGAGTCCTCTTTTCCTTCAGGCCACTTCTATATCCTCGAAACCTGGGGAGAAAGAACCAGTTTGTCACATCAGACTTGGGTTCAGATGTTCACTTGATCCTTCCTGGCTCTGAGTCCAGGACATGTCATCATTTTCTCTGGACTCAGAGGTAAAGCCGAGCACCTCCCTGGTAGGGTGGCTGGGATGATGTGGGGCGAGGTTACTGAAGTACGGAGCATGGTGTCAGCACATGCTAGGCT